GAACGTCAAAGTGATGCCCACAAACCTAGTACAAGTTACTTGTCACCAGAACTCTGCACAAAGTGGCGAACTGAGGCTTTTGCAGTGAAATTGAAATCCACCACTAATGTAGCAAACCTTGAACTCTCCTCAAGTGCGCTACAATGTGGATCCCCTGGGATACGCATCTACCCTGTCATCTCTTGGAGTACGCGACAATCGGAAAAAAATTATCGGAGAGACACAGCACGCAGGATCGCCTAGACACAATCTTCAGCCATGGTATGCCCAAGTTTCCTTCCCCCGATAGTCAAGAAATCGGAAAGCACGATTTCGAACAGTGGCGATTCATTCGTGAAACATTTTTATTGGAAAAGGCTGTTGCTTGGTCGCTCAAAATGCTATCTCTCTCACCGAATTATAGAGGATGCAGCCAAAGGATAATAAAACGCCCGGTTCAGTCAGAGCAGACAGCCGCTGAAGTGTCCGAAATTTGGTAGAGAAATCGGAAAAGCCTTCCATCTGATGTTCGGTTAAACGCTGCGGAACTCTTGCAGAGACCCGACATAAGTTTACCTAGAAAAGCGAATCTACCGACGGTTACACAGAAGTTACGTTTTGATGCTCGTTCACCCGATTCCACAGTAGGTCCGGACGAGGAATGGTGGCGAACCTTGGCTAAATCAAGCTGCCCCCGGTGTGTCATCCATTATCCATTCAGAATAATGAGTAACAGCCGACCTCAGATCGATCGACATTCTCGCACACTTTATTTCTTTAATCCCCTGTGGGATTCTAGAGACCGAGAACCTATCCTGCCTTTATACCAATGCTTTTTCAATAAGCTGGCCGAACCGAAAGATCACCAGGTTTCTAGGCCATAATATATCATCGGTGCCACAGTGACATAGTTACACAGTGGAATGACGCACGCTGAAGTCTCGTTGCCGGGCATGTCACTCATCCGAAACAACCGGTCTACAAAGGGAGGAGGAGTAATTCTGTTTTACCAAAGCGACTTACAAATAGGACAGTTGCTGTGACAGAATCATGGTAATGAAGAATCACAAGTACTAGATCCAACTAGTACACGTATTTAAGATAAATTACTTCCTAATCAGTAATGTTAGTGAAGTACACAATAATTCAGAAACGGGAATAACAGTATAAAGAGCGAGACAAACTGATTTGACGACGAATCTAGCAAAGTGCTGACAGGCACAGTGAATATGTGGTCTATACAGCCCCGCCCCGTGCAGCAATCTGGCTGATCCTTCCCAGTCAGGGATTCCCGTTCCCCAGTAAGGCGACAAACGGGGATTGAGGGCAGTAACTTTTAAAACGATTAGTTCCCCTCCTCCAATAATTTGAAAAGTACCGTAATGAGGGGATATTCGGCAGGTACATGCATCTCCTATCGTCTCATCAGTGAATATAACGATAAGTGACAAGTATGTACAAACAGACAAACAAACAGAAAGGAAAACGGTGTCTCGATAATACATTCAAAGCGGCCTGTAGCTGACCGATAAATACTTCTGAACGCAACGCACTTGTTTTATTTTGGCTTATGGCAACAGCCTAAGCAAACCCGATGAGCTGGGAATTGGTATGGTGCGGCAGAATCCTGAACGCCTTGTTAACAATCCGATGACTCGAGAACAACAAGTGCCTGCAGAGCGAAGATGCAGGGGGCTTGTGTAAACACAGTCTCCCTTGGGCAGCTTGCTGCACAGTCTCGCATTGAACCCACTTTGGCACGTGATCCTTCATTCGGGTGCTCAGGCTCTTATCGATTCTGCCCATGTAACTAGCTCCGTATTTACGAATTGGTATACACAATGGGAATTGTACCAGTAGGGCTGTTTCCTTCAGTTATGGCAACGACACCTTATGAGTTCGGTGGATGATACCAGGAACTGCTCTGAGTAGCAGAAATCAGACGCCTTTTGTCCTCAGTGCAGCATTTTCACTCTTAAAGGACAGCTCTATGAATACTATGTTTATGTACGGTGGGTACAGCACCTCACATTTTACCGATCTGGCTGTGCTTCTGGATGTATTTCTGTAGATAACCATTTGCAACTAGCGTGTTGTTAACTAGCTCTAGTTCATCGGCCGGACTATTGATCGAACATATTCGTTTGGCGCGACTAAATGGAATCTTCACAAGCGTCCAATTGTGCTGCATTGGCAAGCAGCTGGTAAAATGCAGATACTGGCCGGACCCCATTGTGTTTGGTAGACAGACCTTTATACTTGCCAGTTCACCCAGCGGCTGATGAGGACATCCGAATAGGTTTTGCAGTTCCGTTGTTCAACTTTGCAAGTGATATGCGAAGCATTAAAACGTCTTACCGGCCGGATGATCTGCGTTTCTCTGAAGAGGGCACCAACATAGTAGTTGCATAAGTTTTGCAATACAGTAACCTTATTTCTCCGGGTAGGCTTCATTCTATCATCAAATGTAGAAATTCGCTGACATGCGACCCCGTGATGGCTACCACATCAGTTTGATGATGCGGTATATTCTTGAACTATAAATCGAGATTCTCTATGCATACAAGTAAAGAGTTCCTTAATACCAATCAGTATCCGCAACCAGCATCCGGAACGTTCTAGAAGTTCGCAAATATACTCAACGGTCTAGTGCAGCGGTACTTTAGTAAAGAAGGATTCCACATCTAAAGATCACATCACCTTATCGGACTGTTCTATTTTCTCGAAATTCTCTTCAAGCTCGAAGGAATGTCTGAGACCATATAGAGAAAGTTAAACTCTTAGTGGATAATTCACTTTCATCCTCCGGCGAATTAGTTTACGTTGGGGTGCGCTTGTCATCGAGAGGATCGGTTTGAGTGGCACTTCGCTCTTGTTCATTTTTCGGATGCCCATATCGCTGCAACGTGCTTGATCCACGTGGCTCTAAACTATCATAATGGTCAATGGCATATTGCGGAGAAAAAGAGCCGAAGCTTGACATGTCCCGCCAGATGATCGGTTAGGGTTGAGCAAAATTAGTGCAATAATGGCGACGGATATTATTGAATAACCACAAATTGCCAACTTGCCAGTTAGTGTTCCCCATCTGAGAGGTTCACCCTGTCAATCACCCGATACTGAAAGCGCGCTCCTAAATGACGAATTATCCGAGATTCGGATACAGTCACATTCTCCGCTGTCTCAAGTCATTTAATTTTGTTAGTGCCACTGGGTATGACACTCAGCTTCTTGTATTTATCTTTCTGCATGACTACAACTCCTGAGTCCTTATTCGGCTTCATTACGACATCCTTATCGCGCATTTCGCGTAGCGTTCGCAGGTGCCTGTTCGTAAGCGCGCCCTTTTTGTTGGCACGTTTTTTTAACTCATGTGCAACGTCGGTCAGTTTGTTTCTTGCCCACATAAGCATATCAGTACTGGTTGCCTACAAATCACTCAACTGACCGAAAAAGTTCCCAGACTGAGCCTCAATAAACGACGCATTCAGTCTTCTGGGATGAACTACGTAATCTAGCCCGAAAGACAATACTTATAACGGTGGAGGCATAAGCCAGATTAAACCAGGGATTAGCGTACAAAAAACATTTATCGATCAGCCCCAAGCTGTCCTGGATGTAGGATTAATACACCTGTTTTGCCTCTCACTTGTCTGTATGTATGTTTGCACCCTCAAAATCTTGTATATAATTGCCAATAATATTGTCATCATCAGGGTTAGACTAATATTTCTATGGTTAACACATTCGGTGCGACTGCACTCCTTGTAGGTTGCAACTGTGATCGATTCACTCCAGTTAGCTGGGATGACCCCTTTCTTTCAGACCTGTTTGAACTGGTGGATCAGTGTTTTGCAGATGACCGCACTACCATAGTATGGATTCAAAGTAATCCAGACCAGTAGCTCAAAAACGAGTAAGGGATATAAGCGCTTTTCGGACCTCATCCTCCGATGAAGCTTCTAAGCTTACCGGCCATAGCTCAGCTTGTAGCTACTGAGCAGGAAGAGACCAACTTGACTTCTCCCGATAGTGTCTCAGCTAACAAGTCAGCCGGCGCTCCTTAGTGTGAATTGTGGTACCCGTGTTGTCTCTCTTCATTGACGCCTGATTTCCTGAGACCAGTGGTGCGCGTCAGTTGGAAGAGTTTACGGTAGTTGCCTTCTGCTCCCGTCACCTCCATTTCTTGAGCCTTGCTTGTCCTCCAGACTTCCTTGTCAGCATGAAGACTCCGCTTTAGTTCGTCCCTAATAGTCCATCTGGTTACATTGAGCTCCGTTGAATGTGACAACTTTGCACAGTACATCGTGGACATAGGTCTTTAATGTGTTCAGGTACGTGTGCTGCATTGGCATTCTCCCATCCGGTCTTTGTATTGTCTGTGCCCGTAAGCTAATTTGTCAGCTGTAGTCCCCAGTGGGTGAGTGAAACTATCTCGAAACAACGATCGGTGGGGCAGAACTAGACTACTGCTCCTTATCAATTCACTACAAGCGTAGTATACTGATCAGTGCTGAATTAAGTAGCCATTTGGAACCTCTCCCTGATGTTAGAGACTATCTGACTGAATCAAATTATGAAGTGTTCTTTTCGAAACAGACGGCGATAAGCAAGGAACGATTATTCACGTATCAGGAGGCTATAATGATTAATAAGTGCATCCACTGGCTGTTACAAAATCTGGGTTAACATTCTTACCCATATAGATTTTGAAAAATGTATGAAATCAATGTTCATAGGCTTGTGGGTTATATATGTTATACGTTTGTTCATGTTTCTACGCTTTGGTTATCCACTAGAAGTCGAATTCACTTCTCATTTGTCTTCTATGTCCTCTCCAGTAATTTCGGAGATAGCTCTGCGAAGATCAGTAGTCTCGTCATACTATGATTATCAGCATTGTACTATATCCGTCATGTATACGGCTACGCAAGACGGATAATTCTTGTGTCCATTTTGTCGCCATTACCTTGCTCTGTTGCGAATGGCTTTATCGTTTGGTTTACGCTTACTTGGCTTAGCACCAACTGGTCCCACAGAATCCAAACCTGAGGTTGTGAAACTCCTGTCGGATAGCATTCAGGCGCAAATGAAGGGTGTCCGCGGTCTCCGTGTGGCCCGCAAACTACACATGCAGGAGGAGGCACAACGCAAGAGGAACGCAAGACAAAAACAGGTTTGTGCCGCGTAAGGTCTGAATAGAGGATTCTCATTTTCTTGCGCTAGTCGTTGGCGATAACACAATGGCCATTGGCTTTTTCCACCAACTAACCTACCTTGTAGCATTAAATCGGATTGTGGTGACGAGTTTCCGATACGCTGTGACGCAGGCCAAATTTAGAGACACATAATAAACAAAGAGTAAGACTATCCATCCCTTAGTGTACCTTCAAAACCCCTCAGTTAACCGCATTAGCTAAATTTCGTCTTTTCCGATGTACATTTCAACTAAGGGTCATAATAATGCCTAATGGAGTATATGAATCTCTTCTAATAATGCTCACGACGTTGTGGAATCCAATGAATTTAGTACGCAGCAATGTTTGTTAAGAAGCTAAATGGCAAAGCACTGACTTCTTCGGTATGACTGATTCATGGGGGGAACTGTAGATGTCCTGTTTGGGTACTTACTCTCTTGCATCGTACTTCCATAAGATTGCTTCGTTCCATCCTTTTGGTTCAAAGTCTCGACTGAGCACATGCCTGAGGGTGACGATGTTACCTTCCTAACACTTGAGTGCTAACGCTGCTGCCTACTTTGTTTGTCATGGCGGTGCTCCCTACAACCAACGTGAAATGAAAGAGTGAGCACTTATCGTCAGCTCGCGATGGATCCCTCTCCAGAATATGTAACTACGACAAGGGAAGTTGCGTTTAACACAACTCTTTTGTATAACCGCGATATCTACGTAGGCGTAATAAGGAAAGAGGTATGTTCGGGAGCAACGAGCGCAGCTAACCCTAGAAGTGTCGGTGGATAAATTTATGCATGTTTTGAACATTTCATTATCCCATAGCATCATTTTCCAACAATTGAATGATAAATCTGTGCTCACCACGACACATGGGCAAGTTCACTTGTTCACAATCAATGAGAGCCTCATACTGCAAACATCTACCGGCACGAAATGGTTCACAATGATTCAGACTTAAGAAAGATCCTATTGTCCATTGTTGAACGATCAAAGTTCAGACACCTTTGCGCCAGTAAACGAAGACAGCTGGTCGCACCCACAGTACGAATGTAACTTCCAACATTTACATCAACAAATAACTGCTTTTTACCACTCTAACTCCGTACCACTTCAAGCTGCTGACAGATACATTGGTGATATTTCGTCTAGCTAGGCATTCAAGTTCCTTCTCTCTCTCTTCCGAACCTCCGTCTGACAAGGAACAAAAGCGTCAATTAGTGAGACAGATTATCTAAGCTAAATAGCGTTTTGGAAAGCTGACACCATTACGATTCATCAGAAAGTTGTGGCGATCAGAATAAGACGTTCCTTACTAGCGGCTAACAAGTCGGTACCGAGGAAGCTCGTTAATTATCAGAGGATATACGGCGAGGAAGCTTGCTGTCCCTTTGCTTCTGGACTCATCTACGATATCACGGGCGTTCCAGGTTTCAAACTAGTGGTCTAAACCTGTATCTCAACAGTTTCACCCCTGCTCAAAGAGTTAAACGAACTAATACGTTGGTTGCAACTCTTTATAATGGATTAGGTAGTCCGGAGAAAGCCATAAACGGCCGTAGATGCTTATTCCCGTGCTTTGCATTGGTTAGAATGCAACATCCTATGCATATAAGTACAAAGTCCTCTGACATATCTCACTGCTGTATTTGCGATAAAATGCTTAGTTTAATGTAAATTAGCTTATTTCTTTCTTCCCCTGACTCAGTAGAATCCCTAGGGCCGGGGAAACATGGAGGTCTCAGTAATTCTCTCACAAGCGGTCACTGAAAGTTTAACATTGAGCAGCACAGTATCGACTGCAATTAAGACTTAGTTGACTTGCCGCAATTTAGGTAGGTCAACGCTTTACTTAAACCGATTGAGTTTCGACAATACCTTTAATAGTACTGACTAACCGAATCTAGTGAATTTTCTCTGCTTCGATTCTTTCGCGAGGCTAAGCGATTCGGATTCGGATGTCTCGTCACCAAAATCAAGGTGACATCCTCACTGCACCAAGATACGCAGATTCTATCGTAGCTTCTGGCCTTTAAGCAGATTCGTCGAGCGTGGTTGCTGGCGACTCTATTGCTCACCCTATACGTTTCCAGCATTAGCAATCGATTTGCATCCAAACTGTTTACTCATAGTTGTAGTGAGGGCTAGTAGATCACTTCCATTGAGCACTGAAGATATCACCTTGACTGGCGACCTAACGTCCGTAACCATGCGTCTCAGGTTGGGGGAACATCTCAACACGCAGCCAACCATAGCCAACCGACACTCTGAACTATTGCACAGTGTGTTGCACTTATACTTGCAGAAATCGGTGGGAACTGGTAAATCAACAGAACTGCACTTACCTACATCTGGCCAATGGCATCGGTGTGAACATTCTCCTCAGTCTTGTTGTCTCACTTATTGCAGTGGGAAGAATTGTTATCAATGAAACCGGTGGATGACTACGAAGATCCAGAGGATATCAAAGCCATCACAGAAGCGAAGGAGAACATGGGTGACTTCAAGCTAAAGTCTGCCCAGGACTACATTGCTTCCGACCGTGCGACGCTGGACGCTTTTGGCGCGAAATGGCGTTTATTTCAAATAACTGAGACCGTAAGTACAGTGTAACATGGCATAACAATCCACGCATTTTGTCAATTTTAGAGCGCAGCATTCTGTCGTCATGTATGCAACGGTCTTTCAATATCCGCGACTGACACGTGACCACCAGAGACAGTGGTAATGACGGTTCTCACTTAGTGCAAGCGGTCAACCAGCTGTAGTGTTGTTCGATACATCACAGTTCCAGTCCAGCTATGGAGACTGCTAGATTGTCATGTTCTGGCTTATTGGCCATGTACCAAAAGCAACAACTATAGACACTGGAGACCAGAGACTTGGGGAAGCTGGTTGATATACCAATAGCCAAGTGCGTACTGCTTGTGGTCTATAGTCTCTTGATCCATCTATCGTGAGAAATACTTAGGGGATCTGCAGGGTCTATCGCCTGTGTGTGTGGCTAAAATCACCTTACATGTGATTGTTCCCTTTTATGCAGTTGCCATTTACACAAACACCCGTCTTGTTATACAGTCGTGTTTTCTAATGTTGCTTGACCGTAACATTGGTCAATTAATCTCTTGAGGAGGATGGGAACGTTGATATGATGCAACTAGTTCTAAGCATGAATTGTTTGAATACGTATAAGTTTCGAATAAGTTCATGTTTTGGCTCATCTATGCAGCGCCAAATGTTTGGTGAAATACTGAAGTTTAGTAGAGACCTTTCTTCCAAACTGCTTCATGTATAAATTCACCGGTACGGGATATTTTAGTGAACTCATGACAAGACCACGTTTTTGAGCGCACAATCTCAGAGTACGCAATATATGACATGCTAAGTTATACTTATATTCCATCGATTATTTGTTGCTGTGAGTTTCCTGCCTCTACCAAGGCACGGTGCTCAATATGACAACGCCTTCCTATCCACTACGCGCCACCTTATTCAAGATCAAATTCTATTAAAAATCTTTCCGAACTTATGAATTATCAATGGACTTCAAACGTATTTCGAGATCGCAAGCTATGGTATTGGTGACGCCACGTGTGGCCCGGTGTGACACTAGCATGCGTCAAATACCTGTCTTATTCTCCAGCACGTCACTTTTAATACGTCTTCTGTGGCTTCGGACGTCAATACCACCATTGACCCAGACATGCCTGAACAAACTACCGCTAGTTCGACTGGAATAAGTACGAGTAGGACATCATCCACCATCCAAACTTCGAAATTTCAGAAGTGCGTCGATGCTAGTAGTGGTTGAAACATACTTCTCGCTAAAGACAACAGGAGAGTTAGGTATTCAGTTACGACAGCCGGACCCAAAAGAAATTGATATGAAGAATCTGTAATTACACAGCCTCCATCGCTTGTTTGCAGACCGGCTGGACGGGGGACCTCAACTCGGGTTGTACAAATGCTTTTTAAGAGACCGCACAATGTACCATCGGTGACCTGCTCCAGCTTACAAAATCGATGTCACATACATTAAAAGGAAAGCAACTGGATAAATATATATATATATATATATATATATATATATATATTTATATAAGACACAATCTGTGGTACAGATATTGTGCCATCGGAATCATGGCTGAATAGGAAAACAGTATGAATAATGAGAAAAGAACAACAACCACAACGAAAGCTTCTTTGTCCAGTTTACCACTCATTTTTACATTTTTTCAGTTTGTTTTTAGGGGGAGGAAGAAGAGGCACCGCAACACACAAATGCACACGTCCGCCATTGACATCCATCTTGAGCCATGGCTTTCAAGGTCTTCAACCAGCAAGTATCCGCATCTCTCGGACCCCAACCAGGTAGTCGACAACAACCTGCTGATGCCAACTGTTCCGTCAGCTTTTACATGCGGCTTCTCCATGTTGTAGGCTGTCCACCAGACCGTCTCTTCCAGCCCAGTTCAGCAACCGCAAACAACGCACGAGGCGGGTAACGCTGGACAGACGTGCGTAATACGTGTCCCAACCACCGAAGTTGATGCAGTAAGACGACCTACTCGAGCGAGTGGCTTCTACATCCCAAGACACGCTGCTTACGCGGGGCCGCCACCACACACGGGCAATGGACCACAAACAGCGGTGCTCGAAGATGGATAGTCTGCGCAAGTCATCTTCACGAATGGGCAAGCTCTCGCACTCGTACAACAGTACAGCACAGACAGTTGCACGGTAGACCCGCCCTTTGATGCAGATACGAATGTCTGGGTGACCCCACAAGTGTCTCAGTCTAGAAAAAGCGATGTCTGCTCTCGAGATGCACATCGAAATCTTGTCTCTAACAGTCCCACCAGCAGTGATGCAACTTCCCAAGTAGACGAAGCGCTCCACAACCTCTAGTGTCTCATCATCAAGAGTGAGTGCAGGCAGAGGCACCTTCCAGTCTTGGAAGAGATCCTTGCATTTGGATGGCGAAAAGTACATACCATACTTTGATGCTTCAATCGCCAAGCAGTTTAGTGCAAGTTGGACGGCGTGTGGATCGTCACCCAGCAAGACGACATCATCAGCATAATCCAAATCAACAACTCGACTACCTGGGAGGAGCTTAACCTCAGCGTTCAACGGATCGCCCAGAGCGTTCTTCAGGACATCCTCGATGGGAAAGTTGAATAGGAACGGAGAGATAGGGCATCCTTGTCGAACTCTACTGGAGACCACAAAGGAAGGCGCAAGCTTGTCATAAACCCTAACCCTGTCCGAGGTCAGACTATAGAGAGCGCGCAGTATGGAGACGAACTTCTCGGGGACACCATTCCTCAGTAGGCAGTGCCACAGTACTATCCGATCGAGAGAATCGAAAGCTGCACGATAATCCAAGAACACAGCAATCGTTGGCCGCTTATACATATGACGGAGCTCGAGGATCTGGTGTAGTGTGAAGATTTGATCGATGCAACCGCAACAAGGGCGAAACCCAGCTTGTTCTTCTCGCTGCAACGATTCATGCGTTGGGGATAGCATTCGAAGTATGATGGACACCAGCAGCTTGCAAAAGACAGGGACTTAGCTTATGTCACTGTAGTTGGAGTCAATTGTGCGCAAGCCCTTTGTGAAGATGGGGATGACTATCGATTCACCCCAAGATGATGGTACTTTTTCTTTCGATCAAATTTTCGAGAACAAAGCGGCGAGTTCTCGAACCAGCGAAGCACCACCATCTTTAAATGGAGCTGGAAGAAGACCATCAGGATCGGGGGCTTTATAACGTTTCATGTGCCCGAGTTCCTGCTCCAGTTTCTGGTAAAAGGGAGGATCTGTGGGGTAAACTACTCGCCCCCAGCGCGAGCGCCAGAAGTAGCAGATGGAGCTGGGGTCCAACAAAATTGCGAGCCAAGATGTTCGGCCCATCGCTCCAACCGTCGTTGAAGATTGCTGATTAAGGTGCCATCCTCTTCGCATATTGTTTCACTTATACGAGATCGAACACCGGTGACTCGAATGAGATGGAAATGTTTTCTGGTATTACCAGAGAGACTAGCAAGCTCCATCTCCCTAGCACGTTAGCACCACCAAGCTTCGCGGTCCATTTGCAGATTCCTGCGCAACTCTCGACCCTGGGATTGGCGTTCGTCACTGTGTCTGGAATCCGAGTGGATCAAGCGGCGTTTGTCCATCAGCGGCAAGGAGACGGCGGAAATCCATTGCTTCGGTGGGTGACGGGCAACTCTACAGATGTCGATACTGGCGGAAACTAAAGCATCTTTGATATGCGCCCACTGCGAATCGAGATCACCGTCAATAGTTGAGCCAAGCAAAGTTGACAGTAAGGCTTGGTACCTGGTTAAAATCGCAAGGCTTTGTAAATTTGCGACGTCCGGTCGGTAGGGAGTGCGCTTAGGTGATCCTCCGAAACGCATACAAATCTTAACACGAACCAATGCGTGATCGGAGTCTAGATAAGTTGATCAGTACCATCGGCAGTCCGTTACGCTTCCGCGCCATCTGTAGCGGATTGTTATGTGGTCAAGCTGGGAGCACTCTTGCGTTTTTGAGGGCGGGCGCTAGGAAGCAGTGTCTTCTCGAGTGCCGAAAGCTAGTGCTCGAAAGATACAAGCGATGATCAGAGCAAAGAGCAAGCAGCCTATTTTCGTTGTCTGATCGACTGCTACCGGGACCAAAACTACCCCCAAGGTGGTGCTCGCTTGGTGGAAGACGGCCAACCCCGTGCGTTAAAGTCCCCGGCAAGAATGACTATATCAGTCCATTTGGAGAAACGCAGTACTTCATGTAGCTGCTGGTAAAATCCATCCTTGACTGCATTCGGCCTGCAGTCTGTAGAGGCGTAGGCGGAGACGACAAACAAGTCACGCTTAACGTCTCGACGCCTGCTTACGTTACATGAACCTCGTAGTCTGACTGCACATAGCTGACTGTTGATTTGGATCCAGTCAAGCAGAGCTGCTTCAGCCTTGGCACTCAGTGCAACCCCAACACCAGCTTGGCTAGTGGCGGCAGCTTCTGGGTCTCTGGAAAGCCTCAATTGGTATTTGACTCCAGGGTTTACAGGAGACGCTATCCTGATTACAGTGCTAGAGTCTTGTAATCTGGCCTTTGAAAGGCAACAGATGTCTATCGAGAGTGTTTCAAGAGTACGGGCCAGATATGCCTATCGTCCGATCTGCATCAAGATTCGAACATTAAACGCTGCGAGGATGAATGGAGAACCAGGTTGAAGAAGAGCTGGAGCTTCGGTGGAGTGAGAGACGGTTGCGATCGCTGGGCATTGAAAACCGGGTGTTTGGCTGTTACTTCCCTCATTTGCGAGACGTGGGTCGTTTATGACGGGGACCGAAGAAGACATAAGATTACATATAGGTGAAGGACGGGAGGTGGGGTGATCTATGGGTGGAGGTTGGACAGTTGAGTTAGCATAGAAGGTAGGCATAACAGGAGCATTAGTAAGCAGTGTGGTCCATGATTCGTCAGTGGGCGTGATACTACCCGGTTGCTCAGGCCGAAGTAGAGGGTTGTCTTAGTTGGTCCCTACCCCGAGCCTTTAAGTAAAGATCTAACGTACAAGGCAGCAG